TGTGGTTTTATCTACCTTTGGTCTTTGATGATGGTGACATACAGATGGGGTTTTAGTGTGGATGACCTTTCTGTTAGTTAGTTTTCCTTCTAACAGTCAGGACCCTCAGCTGCAGGTCTGTTGGAGTTTGCTGGAGGTTTACTCCAGACCCTGTTTGCCTGGGTATCAGCAGCGGAGGCTGCAGAACAGAGAATATTGCTGAACATCAAATGTTGCTGCCTGATCGTTTCTCTGGAAGCTTCATCTCAGTGGGGTACCCGGCCGTGTGAGATGTCAGTCTGCCCCTACTGGGTGGTGCCTCCCAGTTAGGCTACTTGGTGGTCAGGGATCCACTTGAGGAGGCAGTCTGTCCGTTCTCAGATCTCAAACTCCGTGCTGGGAGAACCACTACTCTCTTCAAAGCTGTCAGACAGGGAAATTTAAGTCTGCAGAGGTTTCTGCTGCCTTTTGTTCAGCTATGCCTTGCCCCTAGATGTTGAATCTACAGAGACAGGCAGGCCTCCTTGAGCTGCGGTGGGCTCCACCCAGTTCAAGCTTCCTGGCCACTTTGTTTACCTACTAGAGCCTCAGCAATGGCGGGTGCCCCTCTCTCAGCCTCGCTGCCGCCTTGCAGTTGTATCTCAGACTGCTGTGCTAGCAATGAGCAAGGCTCCGTGGGCATGGGACCCTCCAAGCCAGGCACAGGATATAATCTCCTGGTATGTCGTTTGCTAAGACCATTGGAAAAGCGCAGTATTAGGATGGGAGTGACCCAGTTTTCCAGGTGCCATCTGTCACAGCTTCCCTTGTCTAGGAAGGGGAATTCCCTGACCCCTTGTGCTTCCCGGGTGAGGTGATGCCTCACCCTGCTTCGACTCATGCTCATGGGCTGCACCCACTGTCCTGCCCCCACTGTCCCACAAGCCCCAGTGAGATGAACCCAGTACCTCAGTTGGAAATGCAGAAATCAGCCGTCTTCTGCATCGCTCATGCTGGGAGATGTAGACTGGAGCTGTTCCTATTTGGCCATCTTGGAACCCTTGAAACGTATCTTAAGAAGTGTATCATGGCTGGGCGTGGTGGCTCATGCCTGTAATCCCAGCACTTTGGGGCCGAGACGGGTGGATCACGAGGTCAGGAGATCAAGACCATCCTGGCTAACATGGTGAAACTCCGTCTCTACTAAAAATTCAAAAATTAGCCAGGCATGGTGGTGGACACCTGTAGTCTCAGCTACTCGGGAGGCTGAAGCAGGATAATGGCATGAACCTGGAAGGTGGAGCTTTCTGTGAGCCAAGATTGCACCACTGCACTCCAGCCTGGGAGACAGAGTGAGACTCTATCTCAAAAAAAGCATCATATCATAACAGAGGCAAGGTAGAACAGAAATATATCACACTAGAGCAAGAGAGGGACCATGAAAAAAGCAGATTCAAACCTAAGCCCCACTATTCACTAGCTAGAGAAACAGTGAGCTTACTCAAATTCTGTGAGTATCATCTTCCTCATCTTTAAAATATAAAGGGTGATATTTTGAAGGCTTGTAAAAATTCAACAAGAACACTTATCCAAAGAGCCTATCAATGCCTGTCATCCAATGGGTGTTCAATGGTCAGTTAATGTTTTCATAGTGATCAAAAATTATGAATATCAGTCAAAATAATGTAATTAACAAATAATATGTAAATAAGGCTGAAGAAATGTGTTAAATAAAATAAGTATAATTAATTCAGAGAAAGAAGGGGTCAGTACAAACTACAGCTTCCAGGATCATGAAGGAACTAGATGGCTATTAAAAGTGAGGATGAAAAGCATTGCCAGGAAGAAAGAACATTGTAAGTAAATGTGTGGAAGCCTGAGAAGCTTAGGACATTTGAAGTCATAGGCAGAATTCTCTGAAGTGAGGGCAAAGTTTAGAAAAAAAGGAAAACAGACTGCCTGCCCATGGTAAGGGCCTTGAATGCCAGGTGAAGAGATGGCCCTTGAGACTGATCAGTCATTGATCTACCCTACAGGTTTAATTCTGTTAAAAGTAAGGGAAATAATAGTTTATTTTTATGTGTATAAACAATCATAAAATTTTAAAAAGTAGTGTCTAGTAAAATAATTCTTTTTTTTTTTTTTTTGAGACCCAGTCTCGCTGTTGCCCAAGCTGGAGTGCAGTGGCGCCATCTCGGCTCACTGCAAGCTCCACCTCCCAGGTTCATGCCATTCTCCTGCCTCAGCCTCCAGAGTAGCTGGGACTACAGGTACCCACCACCCCGCCTGGCTAATTTTTTTGTATTTTTAGTAGAGACGGGGTTTCACCGTGTTAACCAGGATGGTCTCGATCTCCTGACCTTGTGATCCGCCCATCTCGGTCTCCCAAAGTGCAAAGTGCTGGGATTATAGACGTGAGCCACCACACCTGGCCAATAATTCATATTATTAACAGCTACTGAGTAATCTTTTCTTTTCCAATTGTACTATAATAGCTACAGGATACTCCTTAAATATGTTTTTGAAACTTCTCTCTGCACTTAGCCCTTTTTAAAATATCAACCAAAATATATTTGATTGATATAAAATATTTTTGGTTGATATTAAAAAAAGGTCTAAGTGAAGAGAGAAGACATTGGTCTATTATATCAATGACCAAAAGAATTATAAAACAAAAAATTAATATACTTTTAATAAATTATGATATAAGCAATTTATAAAGATAATGGTTGAAAAAGCAGTTTATGCACAAAAAGAAATAATTTTCCTTAAAAGCTATTTCTTGTGAAAATAAATGGAAAATAATCATCTAAATACATTCAGTATACATTAAAAAGGAAGCTTTCATTCAAAGATTGAGTCAGAAGAAATATAAAGGCATAGAAAATGAAAATACTACCACTTAGCTCCTAAAAAATACTAACAGCAGAAATGAAAACAAGAAAATATCAAAAGTAAAAAGAAAAAAATGTAGGCAACTAAACAAATAAATTTATAACAAAATGTGATCAATAAACAAGAAAGATACTCTAAGACAAAATTAAACATTTTTCACAGATAATAACAATCTGGCTTTCACGATGGTTTTTTAAAAAAAGTTAGTCACTGAAATCTTATACTCCTATCTGCTCAATGAAGCTTAAAGGGTGATAAAATTAAACAGTGAAATCTATAGTAACTAATATTAAAGATGGGATATTTTATTAATTTCACTCAGTACCCAACACACTGATAGTTTAAATCATTGAAGAAAATCTTCTCACTTCAATTTGCTCCTTTCTTCAAATCTGAAGTACTCAACAATTTTAAAATAAAAATGACGTTTAGTTTATAAAGATGAATATGTACTTAAATATGTCAAAATTCAAGCAAAGTGATATTTTTAACTTTCGTTCCTGTACTGTAAACTTGAAATCAATCCCTATTTTAAAAATTTGACGTAACCAGAATCAATCACTAATTTTGTGTTTCAAACTCATTTTTATGTTTTTACTGATGTTGAACAATTGAAATATGAATATGCTCTACTGTAGCATAGATTATTGGTTTCCAGTCTTTTAAAGAATGTGACCCTTATAACTATGAGCAATTTTTTAAGACTCCCCCATGTGAGATATGTATACTCTGTAGAGTACTATGAATTATATAATGCTTTAAAAATATACACATGTCTCAAAAAGATTAGCATGTAAACTAGACAAACACACTTATAGAAACAGCAGCTGATTTCCCCATGCATTTAAGGAATCCTTCCAATAACTGGATGACCTTTTAGAGCTATAAGGATCACTTGAGTGGGAACCACTAATTCAGAAGTCAGTTTAGAGAAGATATAACCCCTTCACATTTGTTTAGTGCTTCATAGTTTACAACTGAGTTTAACACCACCTTGAAAGATAGAGCGGGAAGGTATAAGAATTCTCATTTTACAAATACGAAGATCAAAATCTAGAGAGAATAAGGAGATGGGTCAAGGTTATGCAGCATAGTAACAACTCCTATTAGATAGCAGGTCTTCTTATTACTAAATCAATGTTTTTATCTCTTACAACTTACTCACCCAGTGAAGGAAGAATAGTCTAATAATTTCTGTAAAATCAGCCTAACATAATCTAACCAACAAATGTATTTTGACTTGCACCTTTTTGGATACTCTTAAAAACTTGGCTATAATTCTACACAACAATAATTAGGGTATTAAAACAGAAAGAATGAGAAAATGAGCTAAGATATGCTAAAGAGATAAACCCAGCTTAGCAAAGGGTCAGGAATTACAAAGACAAATTTCCAAATATTGTAAAACCTTCAAGTTCTATTTTTCTTAAATATCACTTTGTACCTGTCATTTCTAAACACATTAATCTAATAAGCCCAATTGTCTTATGAATTTCTTAAGGATCTTAACAAGATCAGGTAAGTGTTTTAACATACAGTAATATAGGCTGGGCGCGGTGGCTCATGCCTGTAATCCCAGCACTTTGGGAGGCCGAGATGGGCGGATCACAAGGTCAGGAAATCGAGACCATCCTGGCTAACATGGTGAAACCCCATCTCTACTAAAAATACAAAAAATTAGTTGGGCGCGGTGGCGGGTGCCAGCTACTCGGGAGGCTGAGGCAGGAGAATGGCATGAACCCGGGAGGCGGAGCTTGCAGTGAGCTGAGATCGGGCCACTGCACTCCAGCCTGGGTGACAGAGCGAGACTCCATCTCAGAAAAAAAAAAAAAAAAAAAAAAACCCAAAAAACTACAGTAATACAATTTTTTCATTAGTTAAGGAGTAAGTATTCCACTTCTAGAGTATTAAGAAGGTGACACAAATACTCTGGGAAATACTAATGGAAGAGTACTAAACAAAACTAAAAATAAAAAGTCAAAAATTGGAGATGAAATGTATGTTTTAAAACATAATATTTTGGATCTTAAAAGATTTCCATGATACTTTTTCAAGGTGCAATATTAAAATGATGTCTCTTTTTTTCTGTCTCATTCCAAAGAACCATAAAAAAGCAAATTAAAACAGTGATGAAACAAAACGCTTACAGGTTTGTATCTCAGTGCATCTCTGTAGGATCCAAACAAAGCAGCCTGTGCTCTAAGAAAGGCCCTAGCTACTCCATCACCCGTAGCTGTAGACTGCTTCTTCAGTTTATTTTTCAAGGCCGAGACCTGCATGACAGAGAGGAACAGTTAAATTAACACCTCAGAAATTGGTACAGCGAGGTAGGAACCCAATCAGCAGGCAAACCACAGTGTCTTCAGGTCAGCCAAAAATTCATCCTGCTCCCTGATAGCTTATCTTTTTAACTGCAGAGAGCACCTGCTGGTCTGTTAATTGAAACGAAAGCAGGAGAGGAGAGTAACGTGCTAATGCAAATAGGTTTATGCTCTCTTTTTTTCCCAAGGCCTCTTGACATAAATAAGCTTTAATTATTTTACAATAAACTGCTTGTGAGCCACATTTCTACAGATTTTTAGCAATTACAACATGTGTCTACTTGTTTTGAGATGAAGCAGGTTGGGTTTTGTTCGTTTTTGCTATGTAAGGTTATTTGTTACAGGTCCTCCAGGATCACTTACCATTTAATTTTATTTTTGGAAGTCTCATTTGCATATACAATTTTCCAGTCATTTGTTGAATAGTTTTTGTCATTATGAGATAAAGAAGAGGGGAGAGGAGATAAAGTTACTGAAATTATACCATGAGTGGAGAATTTTATGCAAATGTTATACATTGTCTCATTTAATATTCACAACAGTGTTCTAAGAAAAGCATTCATATTCCCATCTATGAATGAAGAAATAGAGGAACAAAGATGTGAATTCATTTGCCCTTACTATGTAGCTAATAAGTGGCAAAGCTGGGATCTAAACCTAGTTCTGTCCAGTTTTTTCCACTACCATATGGGTTTGAGTTCAATATCATTGTCTCATGAACCAGTAATCAGATTAAAACACTAAAGTTTCGAAATCAAAGAAAAATTTATCTAAAAATTTGCTTATTTTTAAAAGGTATTTAAGTTTGTTTTAATTTTTCATACATTTTTCTATCTTTTAATTTCAAGTGTTACGTATTTTAGAAAATGCATATTATTTATGAACAGAATTTTAAGTGAGATCATACTCCTGATGAAAACTCTTATTATTTAAGGAGGAGGAGATATAAAATGTTCCTATGCATCCAATTCACTGTACCAGTTCGTTTCACACAAAATAGTAAACTATATTCTATACATTTAAAAATATTGGTTCTCATATATATTCATCAATGCTTAAAATGGAAGCATGTTGTGTAACAATTCTGTTTTATTTAGAAATAAAACTGGTAAGACAAATTTTGGAAAGAATGCTCACTTAACAGAGCATATTCTTAGCCTTATGAAACTATCATATAACAAAATAGTGTCATTTTTCCTTTTATGTATATATGTGCATACATATATATGCAAACATATACACACATACATACATATGCACACATATACACAAAAACACATGCACACATATATACACATACACACATATGTCTATGCAAGAAGGGTTATTTTTATTTCTTTATGCAAGTAGCCCTGACTTCACTTGTAGATGATTGTAATTGAACTGTCAACCTAATTAACAACTAAACTTTGAATAATGCTAATGAGAAATGAACACAGCATCAGAGGAAAGACCAGCTCTACAGGTGATAAACCTTCACAGTAGTGACATTTTCCAGTGTAAAGTCACAGTTACTGTGATCTGATCAAAGAAACAGACCCCCATTGGGTCCAATTATAACCACACTTTTGAAAAAATTATTGAGTTATGTTCATAATCTATGCAGAAAGGCCTTTGCAGTGTAGGTCTTCTCCCCATAGCTGTGATCTTTTCAATTTATATCCAAGCTCCATAGATTCAGATAAAAGTTGAGAGCCTAATTCATTTAGCCCACAAAGTGCATAAACCAGGATTCATTTAAGAGAGGTTTTTATTATTAAAATCTAACCTCAATAAATGCATATTTTTAGGTAACCCACATATTCAAACAATAATAATTACAAAAATAAATCTAAGTTAATATCCTTTATTCTGAAACTTCTATGCTATTTTTAAGTTTCAAATGCCTTCAATAACAATGGGAGTGAATGTCAATATACATATTTAATTACTACATACACACCCCAAAAGATTATAATGTAAGGAATATGATTCCAGTCTTTTTAAAGTATTATTATACATAAGTAGTTGTTTTTTAAAAGATTTTTACTTTAGAAAATAAAAAAATTAAAATGCCCCTTACATCTCTGCAAAAGAAAATTCCTTAATGTGTACTTTTTAAAAATAAAACATGAAATTCACAACTCAGTTCTCCATAAATCAAGAAGACAATGTTCTCCAGACAATCACAACATGTATGCTCACTAAGAATACAGTCAAGTCAAGCCATTCCTCAACCTTCATTATACCAAATCCTTGACCACATAATTGTTGCTTGAGTTATACAGGAGTATTAAACACACTGCCACAAGCCATTCCAAACCAAATTATAAAAATGCAGCCTTCACTTCCAAAACTAGTCAATGATAGCTCCTCAGCTCCCTGTGGATGTGTAGAAAATAGAAAAAAGAAAGCACTTGTTCTAGAACTATGCCAGCCAATAAGGTAGCTATCAGTCATGCACGCACTTGATATTTGACTTGTCTCAACTGAGATTTGCCATAAGAGTAAAACAGACACTATATTTAGAAGACTCAGTACAATAAAAAAACTCAATAAATTTTATATTGATTATATTTGGAAGCAATATTTATATACAGGGTTAAATAAAATATATCATTAAAATTAATTTCACCTATTTATTTTATTATTTAATGTGGCTACAAGAAAACACAATCATACATGTGGCTCACTTTTTTTTTTTGGACAGTGTTATTCTACATGAGTATACTATCTAATTTCATACAGATTTTAAACTAAAATTGCCTGGCAAGAAATATAATTATATTTCTCCTTTGCCTCTTTCTACATTATTTCAACTTTTACAAATTACATAAAAAGAATTTTTCCTTGATCTACCCTAGTGGACTTCAATTGCCAGTACATCTGAAGTTGTTCCTGTTTTTCAGAGACCAGAAGGGCAGCTAAGTGTTTCTACATGTGCAAATGAATGCTCAAAAAGAGTCTGTAAGAAAACAATTGTTTTTAAAAATCAGTTTTAGATATAAGGATATTAATATAATATAAAATGATTGCATCAATCTTGCTGTGTTTCTGGTCTTTACATCACTGGAGTAAATTATCACCAGTTACCAATGCCCTTTGCAGTGCTAATTAGCTTTTAGCAGTTTTTATCTATAAAAATGATGGTGTCTGTTCTGTACTTTTTTAATACCTGGTCTAGGAAAGAGCATTTTCTGCTTTAATTTCCAAACTTCTAAGTTTAGTTATGAAATAAATGTATCTCTTCCCATGAAATCCTAAGGCTTATACTCACCCATAACTCTGAATTCAGAAAAGCATTTGGAACCTTAGTCATATGGCTATTATCACATAATCCTATAAATATTGAAAAAATATCAATTGTTTTATCTTTTTATTCTTAAGAAAGTAAGCTAGCCTCAACCTCCAATGGCTAAGGATTACTTCACAAAGGACATTTTATCTTACGGTCTTTAGAGACTTTACACTCTGTAAATACATTTTTTAAAAATCTAATTTAGTATTAGGATAGATCACAAATGAAAAGTTAAACAATGAAAAGAAAATTCAGAAATAAGCATCACTTCATTGCTCGTATCAAATGTTTTAAATTCCTTTCAGTGAGAATTCAGACCTCCAAGCAGTCATCCATGGGAAGAATTATAACCTGGATTTTAGCACAGTGGGAACTCACTGTAGCATTAATAATATTACCACCAATTTCCCACTTTTACCCTCTTAGCACTAAAGCGACTATGAATAAAAGGACAGAATTACATGAGTAAACGCAGCAAACAGGTACACGTTAAAAGAGCATAAGCCATGTGCACACAGTCTAAGTAATGAAGTAATTATACCAAAGGAGAGTAAGCCAGGAAGGCAGAGCATATAAAGGGGTTGAGTTTTTCCGAGAAGTGACAGATTTCCTCTTTTACTTAACTTTCAGATGTGATTTCTAGATATGTTTTTGCAGTAAAAATATATTAACTGCTATACCTAGAAATTTTTATTTTACTTTTAATGATCACAAAGAGAAACATCAGGGTAAAGAAGTGAAGATAAAAATAACTGTTCTAAAATAATATTTACATAATCTACACAACCTAAAACACTCCTAAGATATTTTTAAATATTTCCTTTCATATAACTAAACTGTTCTCTAGAAACTACATATATTTATAAAAGTTAAAGTGTCAAAAAATCATCTGTAGAACAAAGATATAAAGTTGAAACCTTTTATTCTTCCATGAATCATGTTACAGTTATCACATGAATTAGATATTAAATCTCCACACTTCTTTAACCTTTCTAAAGTTCAGTTTATTAAGAAACAAAATTAACACTTCTCTCTTAATAATTTTCTAACAAATCTCTATTTGAAGATTAAAACAGTAACCTTTAACATTTATTAAATGAAAAGCATATCATTTACTTATAGAGCATATCATTACATTGTTTCATTGGTTTAAAGTACCTGTCAAATCCTAACTAATATGGCATCATCTACAAGTATTCAATGAATTTCCAATAAAATCCAAAGGTCTTTAACAAGAACTACACATATTTTATGATTTCCCCTGCCTATCTCTACTATCTCATTTTGCATAATGTTTTTGTTTATTTCACTACAGCTATATAGGTCTTGAATCAACCAACCTCTTCCCTACAGGAAAAACTTTAAATATGTTATCTCTCCTCCCCCTCTTCTTCCTCCTCCCACTTGGCTTACTCATACTCACCATCATTGAGGCCAATTCTCCATAAAGATGTTCCTGATACACTGAGCTTGGCTGGACCACAAAAGGCGGATGTGAGCGTGCGGACTAGTAAAAATGGCATCTCAGTTTGGCTAAAATTATTTCCATATCAGTTTACTTATAGCAGAGATGGCTTTAAGTCCACCAACATCTATTCTCCCTTTCTTTGCTAATGGAAATCTTAAGTTTGGGCTGGTGCATATTTAACAAAACTAGGTTAACTCAGCTAGTTTC